TGATAATGGCTGACATCGCCAAATTCTCCAACAGTTTGTACTCTTCTCATCGGCGGCACCAAGAACATCAAAGTTTCAATGAACTAAAAACTGAGCACTTGAAAATTCCGGTAATCGTCCGCCGAACAGCAGTATATGGACATATGAAAGATTTATGAAGCTCGACTGTGAATAGTTCACAAGTACTACTGTTGATTATTCAATAGGCATGAAGCATAACCACTATCAACAGAATGTAAACTGGATATTACGAACAAGTTGACGTAATCGCATTCGAATTGTGTACACTCGTTTCAAAACTTCATACGCAGTCAACTTTTAAACATATGATTAAATGGAAAATACCTAAAACTAAAATAAACTAATTACTAAACAATACAATTACAGGGATAAATATTAAATACTACATATAACATACAACTAAGTACGCATAGCATCATTCTGGATTTACCAATAAAAGCTAATTTCTAAAATTATCCATTTGCATAAGATATATAAGTTGCCTCGAAGCATTCTGTAGGCGTGACCTCGCCGTCCGCTTGCATCTATCGACATAGGGGACCATCTAAGAAGAGCGCTGCTCAATGGAATAGGTGCCGCATAAAAAGGCTATTTAATTATGATACGTCTTTATGGTATTTTAGAACCTGCGGCACATGGATGCTTAACTTAAAACATGTTCATATATCAACTAATATACAACAGAACCATAGGCATATATTCATTCATTTGTTTCAATGCCAGCAATTTGTTTTCGGTAGAGAACAACTGTTTCAGTAGGTGTTACCACTGGCCCAATTGCGCCACTAAATGGAACAATTCCGAGTAATGAATTTCAAGGCAGGATGACGTATAGTTTTCTATACGATCAAGCCTTTTCATAAATATGGAAAGTACGTCAAGAGGTTCTAAATGGGACTGATGGAAAATATCTATGGTGACGGATCAATGTGCATTAGCATACGTTTGAAGATGCATAGAGATTCGGAATTGCATCCGCAGTTATAATAAAATGTAGATTCCGTGGCTTCATCAAATGGTCTTTTAAGTCGAAGGAAGCAAGCGGATGGTGCAAACATGCGGATACTTTGACCCAAGACGTAGAACCCACCGTTTATATGTTATGTTGGCCGAGTGGCATGGTAACGCTGGGACGATGCATCATGTCGAGCGAATCCGACAAAGCAATTCGCATAAATATAAGTTTTAGCTATCGTGTAGTAGCTGCCTCAGAATATCGGGTTACGTCTCTACGGATAACGGCAGAAATAGCTGGTGCTCGAACTCGCCCTCATTCAGTCAAACTCAGAGATCTGATTCTGCACCCAATGTGCTGCAGTTGCTCAAATAAAAATACAACCATGGCATGTTTAAATGGCCAATGCGCTTACTCGAACAGATTCAGCGTCAGAAACTGAAATGCTATGATTATCCGCGGAATTTATAAAGTTGTTGTGTCGTAGTAATCCGGAAACATCTGGGTTATGTTTAATTATGGTATTATAAACGCTCTCACTGATAATGGGAGATTTAGCCGGTACTGGAACGAGCTCTTGTTCAGCCGAACTCAGAGCTGCGGACCTGCAAATCAGACACTGTAGATGCTAAAATACCATGGAGTTGTGGCTTGCTTAATTAGTGCCTGGCCCACTCCTCGCCACCCCAGAATACTAGAAGTAAAGGACGGTGTGCTTATGCCGAGTAAATTCGGTATCAGAAATTAAAATTTTCTGATTAGGGACGGAATCGCAAAGCTAACCAAGAACACCAACGCTACGTTTAGTGCCAAGTATTGTAGCTCGCTAGCTCGCTATCTGAGCAACTATTTATCTAGCGATATCCATCGATCATCGCAGCCGGCAATTCAGAGGTATCCTTAAACAAATTCGCAAATGGTTGAACAAAGTTTTTTTGGTCCCTAAAATACTCAGTATTCAGACAGAGTATTAAACACAGCTTGCAAGTGTAACCGATCAGAACTCTTTATCGTTTGCATATCGAAACCGTAATCCTTAATCACTGACCGAAAGAAAACAGCGTCATAGTCATATGACGTAACAAGACGTTTAAAACATTCATGATCCTGCTAGATGTCAGTTATGATCATGGCTGACTATCTAAAAGCAACTGATAGGTAGTACTGAAAAATAAATTTAAAAAGCGATCGCCTGGTTGTATCCATAATCATGGAATCTCATCGCTCATGCGTAATGAAGGCATAAAATCAATACGAGTTTAAGATACAACACTATAATACATTTTCGCAAAGAAAGTTTTACTGGACAAGTTTACCACTTCCACCCCTGACCATTCGGCCAAATGATAATCGTTATCCACTCTCACGGCATTTCCCAGTTTTTATTCACATACTCTTAAACGTTCCTTCCATGTTTCTCTATATCCCCATTTTCACCGAGAGTTCTTTCTAACTTAATTGTTCAAGACACTATCTATAATGTTCTGTTAATCAATCAATCACGAACAACGGCTCATTGACCTCAATCAATAGAAGCAACATGCATGTCATATCTTGAACATAAATCCAAAGTTGTTCATAAAACATCTGGAAGTATTTAGGAGAAAAAATTATTGTACGCTGTTGTCCGGAAGAAGATGGCAATCAACAAACGCTTCAAACGAAAAGCGTAAACATGAATTAAACAAGTTTCACTATATAAAAATTTATACAACTTTGCGCGTCAACCGTCGAACTTACCTTATTTTTAACACCATGATTCGCCCCGGTCTCGTATTTGAAATGGGCGCAAGCAGGACCACCAAAATTTCGGTCATCTGAAAAGAAGGCAAACGTAGAGTACGAAAACAGCTGTTCAATACACAGTGTCACGAATCCCCTGGATCCACTGCTTACCTGAAAAATGAGGAAAGACCGCGTCTCTTGATGAGGGAAAATCGGACAGCAACGACGGTCGTCTTCGGATGGAGTCGGCGTCGCGACGCAGCTGAATTCCCTCCATCTGTAACATAACTAATTATGAAACTGACAAGTCGGAAATCTAATGATTTGGTCTTACTTTTCGAGTAACAACTTGATTATTTATTTAATAACTAACATGAGAAGATCCTTGACGAGAAAAAGACCCAATCATTATAGAGCCATTACACATTTACTGATAAACAAAGGAGATGCAATACTTACATGAACAATCTAAGAGGTAAATGTAAATCTTAACTCGGATGATACCTGCCAAGCCTGGAGATCCATCACTCAATTCGTTCCTTTTTGTTCCTTAACCCACAAGCACACTCGCAACCTCTGTTCCCCTTTTGATTAGCATTTATATTCATATTAATTTCAACAATTCTCATTTTTACACTTGCTACACTAATAAGTAATTTTTTATGTTCTCCGTCTTATATGTACTTATTGTACTTTCTGTTATTATCTTACTGATGGAGGCCTTTGCTTTGTAATCAAAACTTCTGAATTACCATCTTTTTCCCACGTATGATCATGATTACAAAGTAATTTGTCAAAGAGTTGTACCATGTACCAAGTTCTATTTCAGTAGTTCTCTGGGTTTCGTGGGCGTCAGAAATAGAAGAAAATCTAGATAATGTCATGGTGGTTTCTCTTCGTTTAAACAAAGGGTAAAACGTTTCCATGAACCGCAGATCGCATTACGATGCTTGACGACATGATCCGCAGTGACCAGGTGCTAGATGTCGCCGATAGTTGCTATTCTCAGTTTGCTCTCTAATGACACGCAAAACAGAGAGACTCAACAGACATTCAAATAATCTCCTAAACAGTGGATGGCAGAAAAGTGGCACATCCGACGAAACAGGTCGACCAACTTGGCACACAGCTCTACTCCCTACTTGGAGGGCAAAGAATCTCCTGCACTACATAACATCCGTCCTCACATACAGTGACCATAGCTAATAGGAAACTTTCTTTCGAAGCAACAATGCATTAACTATACACTGTATGCTTCAAAAGTCAAGATTCAATATATACGCAAAACAAATTCTATAAAGGAACATATACATTGAAGATGACGAAAGCCGTGCTAAACCGTCTTCCACCCTGCAGACTACAATGTTCTAAGCTAAGCCGGCGAAGAAGAAAACGAATTTATCACCTCTTTAAACGAACTACAACCTTCATCACTAGCCCCTAGAACCGTCAATCCATTAATAAAAAAACAGAATAAAATACAAGTGTTGCAAACCTACGCAACGTTAGGAAAGTATCAAATATAAAGCCACTTCGAGTATAAGCATTCAATTCATTTAATTATTTAAAAAATAACTATTATTTGTTAAGTATCTTTTGAAATTCACTTCCAACACTGTCCATCAACGCGAAACAATCATTTTTTTACATTGCTTCGACGCTTACCTCCATGATGAAGTGTTTCTGTGTGTCTAAAGTCGAAACATCGATAAAAGACGAACTGTAACGAAAAGTAATTACTCTGCTGAACAGCTGGATAAAGTACCAGACAAAATAATCTTTAAATTTCAGCGTTACTGAAACTCTGCAACGCTTTCTCAATTTATCTGAAACTGTATCAAACACCAGGTAAAGTAGATCGTTTAATAAACCGTCATATATCATTCAAATACTATAACCTTACAATCTTAAAGGAAATCCTTTGGAAAGCGTCGTCGACTTCGTCTTAACAAAATTTTATGATACAACAAAATCTGGCAAATTCTAAAATATTTCATTCCAAGTTTCAATACAGTAAGAAAGTACCTGGATCGTTCGAAAAAGTTTGCCCAATGCTCATATCAACACATTTGACTCTGGATAATCACCAACAACATTTATACAAAAATCATTCTCATATAGTAGTACTTCACTTTATTCACTTACCTACTTGTTTCAAGGTATAATATTCACAATGCTAAACATGATTTATTCATAGCACTGAAAATTCTCCTGCAATACATTTTTATGTTCGTCACATATAATAACGACCACAAATGGAAGACGTATAACATATCAAGTGAACGAATTCGCGGAAACTGCCACTGGTGATTTTATGACAATTTATCTCTTATTATTACGTGTACAGCTTGCTACAGTGATAACGTTAAGATTCCTAATGTATGCTGTACATTGAGCTAGCAAAATCCCGGAAACTTACAGAAGGAAAAGTACAAAAAAGTTGTACCTGTAAGTAAACGTCCGGGTTTTAATGAATATTATGACTGCATATAACATGTATAAAGTACATAACTGATACCAGAGGTGATGGGGTATTCAGCTCGAGCGTCTGTGGTCATACTGAAAACAAAACTACGTACGGTTTATTCACGCAGAATGCTAACAATATAGTCGAGTGGGCCAATTGATCAGTACCGACGTTTGGGCCCGTGGTTCAGAAACCTTCAACCTAAGGGGGCTAGATTCAGAAGTCATTCTTGTCGTTTACAGCGGCGGTTCGTGCGTTCGTACTTTCCGACAAGAAAATAAAGACCGCAATGAACGATATCATCAATTATGAAATTATCCTCAACATACCTCTACTCATTGAGTAAGATAGCCCGTGAGATATGCGCTGAAAAGCTGCCACCATTTAATTGGCCCGATACACCATATTGTTTGTGTTCTGCATAAACAAACAGCGGTAGTGTAAGGATTCTACTTTGTACTCTACTGGAGAAATAAAGTACTACATTTTCAAGTTTGAAAACAAATCTATTGGAACTGAACTGTACATCACGTTTAAGCCGAAGTGCGTCCATTAATTTGTATCCTACACTTGCATTTTCATTTGATGACAGTTTGACCTCTTGTAAATTGCGACTATCTATGCTTTACTGCATCCGGTAAAATAAAGTATAATAACAATAGTGAATTACGACTACACAGTAGTGAATAATAGTAAGATACTGAACGACAGTTAAGTACTTTAATTTTGTGATTAAGCAGGTGGAGGTGCGGACATTATCGTTACAATTCGTACCTGACTAAAAACCACTAATGCAGGAACTGTGCGAAATAGTTTCATTAAAAAGGAATTACGTTTATTATCATATAATTATATTATTAATGAAATGTACAAAAATATGTACTGTCATTCACTTGTCGCTTTTGCGACTTTCTTTAGCTTTGGCTCACCGTTTTCAACGTGAATCGTCTTGCAAAATCATTCCCTCTGTTCCTTTTAGAGTAATCTCGTCTGAAAGTTTTACTTCTGCCTTCGTCGTATATGCCGTGTAGCAAATCGAAACGGCTATATTAAGGCACGCATCTATCTTCTTATGACAAGTGCAACACCACAACTATACACCGTAACTACAATCCCTATGCCTTGACACCATTTTTTACCATCGCCGGAGCCGTGCTAAATCCCTATCATCAGGACGCCAAAATGCTGGATTTTCACCGCAGGCGATGAAAGCAATGGTTCAAGCCGGTTATCGCGTACCTCGAGAAAAACTCATCATGATCTGATAAAGAGAAGAGGTGCCTAGCGACGAAAGCTATGAACTCGGGCAAGATAACGCAGACGGTGCTGCCCAAAATGAGGAAGGGAATCGAGAGGGCATATGATACATTGTGGTGACTGAAAAGTTACTTGCGTACCATTACGCCATATCCATCTATCTACATGGGATTAAGAAACTGTGCAACCAAACCGCTAGCTGCCTACTCTACTCCTAATAGCGTTGCTGTGAGCGACAGCAAGCACTGAGCACTGGACAAACATTACCAACTGCCAGTCGGTCACTGTTACTGTTTACCAGCACTGCTCTGGCCGTGCCAGGCTCATGACCACCGCAAGAGCATTATCAGTCAGCTGCTGACCGCTACGCTGCACGTTCGTTGCAAGCGAATCACACGCATCACTTAACCACGTCTTCAGAAATAAAGATTCAATCAATTGACCGCCCAAACATTTTTTATCTAAAGGTGTCAACTGTCATAAAAAAAAGATAGGGTCGTCAAGCATAAGTTTTTCCAAACGCAAACCTAACGCCAACCCGCCACCCCGTGACTATAAATACTACATACGCTGCATTGTTTTAATATGTAGCACGTCTATTGATAACATTTTAAGCAGTTATCATCAAATGTGGACTCAGAATTGGAGACAGTTGAAGGAAATCGCTGAGGACGAGAAGCAAGTCCCTCGACGTGAAAACACTGAAGATGAACCAGTTCTTTCCAGCTCGCGAAGCAATATAATGGGACGTTTCATTCAAAACAAACGAGTGATTCTAAAAAGACAGATTTCTATAGAAAACTGTAAAAAGATAAAAACAGCACTAATACAGAAGAGCAAAGGAACCTGCGGATACTGACGAAGTTGACTAAATTTCAGATATCTTGCCAGAAGAAATATGGCATACAATAAAGCAGGCGAACATAGGAATGACTTTTGGCGAAGATCGCCTTACAATGGAAGTCATCGAATCAGCAGATGAAGCAGTGACCAAGATTGTGTTCACGCTCTCTGAAAGAACTGAAGATCCCAGACGATTGAGCAATCGCCCACATCGGTGATTTTACTTCACAAAAACACGATAAGGGAAGATTCGAAGAATTAGACGCTGACCTATTAGCCTGTTTCCAATCATCTACATGATCTTCGCAAAGGCAGCAATGAGCAGACTTCAAGAAAGCTGTAAGCTACACAGCCAAAGAAACAGGCAGGATTTACAAATGAACTTAGTACGATGAATCATATCTAGGTGATAAAACAAATAATTCAGACAAGCAACGAATATCAGCTTCTTCAGTGCCTGGGGTTCATCGATTTCGATAAAGTCACTGACTCATTCTACTCACAGTCTGTAATGGATTCACTGAGGAGCGACGGAGTCGAGAAAAAATACAGAGACCATATCACTCTGACTTACAAAGATGCAAGCGCTAGGGTGAAGCTTCAGGAAAGTACAAACAAATTCTAACTGGAGAGTGGTGTATGACAGAGAGGCACAATATCACCGAAGTTGTTTACAGCAGCACTGGAAAAGTCAGGGACAGAACATAAATAAAGGCGCT